GTAGAAATACTCTTCTAGAGTCTATTTCTTCTAGACTGTAAGATTGTTTTTAAAATGGGCCAAAGACTGTATGTTTCCTGTACTTGTTTTTAGAAATGACTGAAAATATTTTGTGACATAGGCCATACACTGAAGCTGTGCATTTTGGACACAGTTCTGCACAAAATACAAGTGCATGGAGACAGCTTTGCAGTGAGACCATTCGCCTTGTGAAACGAAGTGGTGGGCACCCACAAATTCACCAAATCCATCCTTGGTTAGAGCATTGTCAACTCTGCCTCTAATTCCTTATTTTGTTAAGAAGAATGCAGCCACTGTAGACGACAATTTGTGGTGAATTTTACTTGTTCTCCACAATTATTCCAGAAAACTTGAAAGTCCTGTGGAAGAATCACTTTGTGGCTAGTGTTCAAGTGCTAATGAAGCTGTTTGTTTGCTTGTGTCCTGTGCTTTGTGACACTGTAAGGTACATGAGTAGGATATTGTCTACTGAAGAGTGAACGCAGCTGTGGATTTTTACTTCATACATTTCTTTGCAATACTGATATATATAATCAGCAAGTGTCACAGTCTCACGGTAATCAGGCCTGTAAAGATCATCAGCGTGATATGCCTGCTTGTTTTACCATGGAAAACAGGAGCTCTGAGTTTCTCTTTAACAGATACGTTTATTTTTTTAAAAAAGTAATATACATTTCTTCATGGAAAGGATATATTATTGAATAAAACTTTTCCATGGTGTTACAGAAGAACGTGCTTTCAAAACAATTCTGTATCAGTTTCCATTGAAGTTAGTCATTCATGTGCAAGCACCCACTTTTATGTTATATGTGCGGTTGTGATTAAAATATAAGCAAAGTATTTATGTTTTTTTCAGGAAAGAGCTTCTTTTTTTCCCCTTCTTTTCAGTACACACAGTTATGCAGTTACCTACTTCCAAAAAAAGAAAATAAATCTCCAAAACGGTCTTTTTTCTTTTTGCAGAAGTCATGCATTTGTGTGAGTAGATGAGTAACACTGGACAGCATTGTGACACGTTGGCAACATGACACTTGGTAGATTCTGCATAATTTCAGACCACCTGAAATACATTTTAGTAATAGCAATGCGTTTCTATGTATAAACATTCTTAAAATTGGAGTTGGAGTTACCTGTGTCCTTTTGCTAAAGAATTGACAGATGAATCCTAACCAGATAAGAGATTTCTGGACAGAAGGGGAGAATATTCACTTCCCCTTTGTAAAAAAAGTTATAAATTGCTATTCATCTGTATTTGTGAATAGGTATCAATTATGGTAGTGCAAAATGGATCTCACGGTTAACTTGATGTAACTGTTGATGATGCTACTGGTGGAAACCAGTTGGTAGTAATTAACACTTGGAATGTTTGGACTCTTTGAGGACCAGTAGCACAGGCAGTTTCTTGTGGGAGGCCTAGTGGTATGCAAATGTATTATTTTTCCATGTGCTCAGTAAATCACAAAAGTATTCTGATCAACCTGAAATTATTTCCCCCATTCACTTACTGAAGCAAAACCTTGAAAAATTCGGAGAACTTTGATACAGCTGTTGCATATTACAATTCTGACTGAAGAGGTGTGGTGGAGAGAGAGGTGTGAATCTGTAACAATACCTGCAGCTGATCAGAACTTTGAAGTGGAGTTTTTTCTTAAACTAAGCATATTGGATCATCTGGGAAACTTTATCTATATCAGCCCTTCTGTAGTGAGGTGTTGGACCATTGCTTACAGAAGTCCTTTCCCAGGCTGTGATTCCATGCACTCTAAACCCAAACAAAAGAAAAAACCACACCAAAACTAAAAACAAATTAAATTTCTAAACATGGAAATGTCTGAGCTGCTAGATGAGAAAGATTGTGTTTAAAATACCTATTAAATTTAAAACATGCAACTTTGTTAAATTCCTGGTTGACAAAATGGATTTCAAGGAAGTTGAATGGCTTTTTTTTTCTTTTGCTTTGCATTTAGTTATATTTGAAAATTGTCTGTATATAACTAACAACTCATCACTGCTCACCACATGAGTCACTGCATCTCATTGGGCATGCAGGCTTCTCCTTGTCATACTAAAAAAGCTATATTGAAGTAAATGGATTAAATTCTGTATGAGAAGTGAGGATCAAGATTAAATGACTCTGACACCATGTGTATTTAAAAACTAAGGGAAGAAGAAAATGAGTTTACCATTAAAAAAGTTTTAGAATACCAGAATTTGTGTGAGAGAAGACTCAAGAAAACAAGATGCTGCTGAGACATGGTCTGCAATTGCATTATAGGATAACAACTCCATAAAACTCATTTCTATTAGCGTCTTCAGGCCAGAAAAGCAATTTCAGACTTCAACTAGAATGATCTTACTTCAGTAAGTACACTATAATACTGAGTCATCTTAACAGCGAGTCATTGTCTTTATTTGTAGATTGTATAGATTCCACTAATTCCTTATGCTCAGTCCACCTGCACTTGGATCATAAACTCTTTAAAACTCTGCTCCAAAATGTTCTGAAATATACTATTATTCCCACTTTTTAGAAACTCTATTAAAGTTGTTCATCCTGTGTAGCAAACACATAGTTTGTTAAGTGTTGTAGCACAAATGAAAGGGTACATTGCAAATTTAGAGGAATAATGCAAAACATCAATGTTCAATGTTACATACAGTCCTTACTTAAGGCATTATCACTGTTTATATTTTGGGGTTATGGCACTCAATGACTGATAAAGACTTTGTGATGCCAGTGTAAATTCTAAAGAGAAATGCTCATTTTTTGAATTCCAGAAAATTAAAATATTAATTTCATTATGCTAGAAACTTTTTCCCTTATATGCGTATGGATTTAAAAAGAAAATAGTTCATTTATTTGAGTAATTCTCATTTTAAGTAAGATTTTATGTATGTTGTCCAAAGGCATAATTTTATTTTTTAGAAAACTATGAATTACAATAGATACTATGTATATGCCTCTGTGGAATGATGAATGCTTTAATGTAGTAGGGAGAATAAATACAATTTCAGCTATATATAAGAAATTTAATGTAATCAACTGATAAGTGCAAGCTAAGTGGCAAATCTCAATTTTATTCTAAATCTTGGTATTTATAAATTCATGTTTTAGTATTTTATTATTTTAAATCTCTGAAATACCTATGTTCAAAGATTGATACAGGAACCACGTGATGAAAAATGTTTTACATGTGTTTATTTTTATCTTATACATGTTCTGATTCTCCCCCAATAGATATGCTTCTGATGCCAATTTTTAAAAATTCATGAACAGAGGGATGTAGTAATTAGTGCTTAATTGTATTGTTTATATTTTGCAACTTCTTACATTGAAGTGTAAAAAGCAGAAATGTTCTTACTAATGAGTTTGAAAGCTGAGAATTTCAGAGAGCATTTTACAGAAATGGAAGCAGAAGCAGCAGGGGGAAAAAAATGAATTTGTTTAGCATTAATTAGCTAATTCTCTACCTCCTGCTTGACTATACATTGCTAATTGTTTATAAAAATTTATTGAATGCCCATTCTGTACTGTTAAAAACATTATTGATTGTTACGCAAAGCTAGATAAGGAAAACACTGTCTGTAACTGCTGTTTAACCTGAAATATAATAGCTGTTCATTTTAGTAGTAGTAAGTAGACAGTGAACTGTCACCTAAAATGAAAGCCATAAGACTTGCATACACTTGCAAAATCATACAAGTGGAAAACCTGCTTTTGAATTGCCATTTTAAAGGGTGTGTCACTTAATTCCTTTGGTGAAAATCACTTTGTCACTCTCGGCTTTTATTTCAAGTGCCAGTAGCTGTGCTACTGTCATAGTATTGCAGTTGCATAAGGGGGCTGGAAAAAGCAGTGCTGCTTTTAGAACATAATTGTTCAAGTGATCTCCGAGTTCAGTACAGGCGGCTGTTGTGTATCTGCTTTGACAATGATAATTGGCACGAGTATAACTTCATAGCTGTATGGGACACTGACATATCGTATCGCTCTTGTCTTATCAGCTTCTGCCCCCTTAAAAACTTCTAAGGCAGTGTCTTTTGGTGAACAGTTACGTACCTGTATAAAAATAAGTTCTTCTGCATGCTAGCCTGCAAGTGGTGTTTTTCTTGGTTATTGGACAAGTTTTGGAAGAGAAAATAATTTTTAATTCTGTATATGCCTGTGACACAGTTGAACACTAAAAATAAGCTGGTTTGGCTCCCTTATATCAGCTCTAGTATTGCATGTTGAGAGGTGAATAAGGACTTGGCACTTTATAAGTAAGTGGCATTGCATTATGTAACAATTTGTAATAAAAGAGCTTTTAGAATAATTAAGGTAACTCAGCAATAAGGCTGTTTCATTTCATTTTTCCGGAGTGTTCTTATTCTTGGAATGTGTCTTTAGAGGAGAAAGTTCTTATAACTTACTTGAACCATCACTTGAAAAATGCCTCTTGAATCTTTGGTTGTACTCAGAGGTTTCTAAATTAAATGAGTTAATAAAATAATAATTTAATAAAAATAAATTTAAAAAGATAAGTTTGTGCCTTCAGAGGACTTGTGTTGAGGGCTTACTGTGCTAACAAAATAAATTTGTTTATATTTAGGTTACTGTTGTTTGCAAAATCACAGTAACAGGTTTTTATGGTAAACATTAAACGTGTTACTGAGTGAAACTGAGTAACATTGTACTTACAATTTCTTATGGCACCATAGCAAGTGACTGGTAAAGCCACAGAAGGACGTGACACTTGTGAAAGCACTGGAGACAGTATGTAATCTTTGTCATTTTGATGTAGTCTTGAATATAAATCTATACATAAGCATCTGTTTACATACACATCAGAAGAATCTCTGCATATGTATCTGATGTACGTATAGGAGTATACTGTGTTCATTTTCAACAGATTTCATGTTCCAGTATTTCTTAGCAATATTATGTGTATGTAACTTCCAAATATTTACTTTTTTTCTTGTACCTTGTTTTGTGACAGGATGACGAAGTAGTACTTCAGTGTGTTGCCAGTATTCACAAAGAACAAAGGAAGTTTTGCTTGGCAGCTGAGGGACTTGGGAATCGCCTGTGCTTTTTGGAACCAACATCAGAAGCTAAAGTAAGAAGTTGATACTCTCAACTGGTGTAACTGATCAGTGAATGTTAACCTGCTTATTACCCATGAATACATTTAATTACAGGTTTTTTAATGTGATGTTAGATGCAACTATGGTATGCTTTTCTTTCTGTGACTGTAACATGAGATTTCTTAGGGATTCTAAATAAACTTGGAGGCATACCTGTTAATAGTCAAAAGCCACTATTTTTTAACTATCTAAAATAATTCCTGTAACTGAAATACTTCATATTTTCAAGATTAAGTCTCTAGACTATTAGTAAGATTTAAGTTCACTAAAAAACTTACTTGTATTACTGCTCTAGGTTCAAATATCTTGATATAGTGGCATGATAATTTTAGAAGCATTGTCACCTGTTAGTTACTGGCATTAAGTGTTGCTTCTAAGTGTCTTGATTAATCAGAAAGTTGAGAGTACAGGGGACCAAATTATTAAGTAATTGAAAAGTTTTAAAGATAACAAGTGGCAAATGGAAACAATAAGCTAGAGAGCTGTGAAGAAAAAATAAAAGAAAATAAGAGTAGTAAGAGAAGCTTGAGAGGAGAAAGGAGACATGAAACTTTGGACTTGTACTAGAGCAAAAGGTTAAGAATAAAGGCAAATGGAGGAGGAGCTCTTCTCTCTCTTTGTTCTTTCTGCAAGACTTTATTTTACTTTGGTTTTTTTTTTTAAATTTTTTTTCTTCCTGATAATTTACTTTCCTTCTGTTTTTGTGGTTTTCTTTTTTTTTTTTTTTTTTTTTAGTGGGGTCTTTGTATCTTTTTGCTTGAAATGTTGCCACTTGGTCCTATTTGTAGTCTAGCTATTATGACCATGTTACATCCACAATATTTATTTATGCAGTGTGAGAGGTCCTTGTTCATCTCTAAGGTGAAAAATTATGCTGCCTCTAAATTTGCATTTCTTTACATTCCAAGAGTTCAGTCAGATAATTTATCTCTGGTGTACTTTAAAAACCGCCAATAAGTTTTTCACATGCTTAAGTAAAAGCAGTTAGTTTTCACATATATATTTTCAACTATTGTCTTAAAATCTTCAACAGTGATTGGGAATTTTTTTATTAATTGACAACTCAGCTGCAGTGTGGTCTGTCTGTTATTGATGGTGACCATCTCAATCTGTAAGACAACATGTTGCTCATCTTGTTATAAGAAAAGGAGGAATGTTATGCGTTACTGTAGAATCCCATAGATCTACTTTACATTTCATGTCTTAGTAGCAGATAAAACTACAGAAACTTAGGAAGTTTGTGTAAAATTCAGAGGTTCAGAAAACTTGTATGTAACTGCTTTAAAAGAGCTTACCAAGGAGCCTTCTCAACTGCTGGTCTTGACTCAGAACAGTGAAGAATTTTGGAAAGAGGCATGTAAATCTGTTTGAAAAGTAAGAAGCGTAGAAGGTTGATCTGGGTGATAAGAGAGTACAACACTTAACAACCCTTAGTGATGATGCTTACTTTCATTTACATTTGGAAAAAATTTTGGTTATGAAATAAGAAAGAGAAAACCAAAATAGCACACATCCAGTGACTTAAAAAATAGTTATGGAATAGATGTGTTTCTAATCAAATTCTACAGGGTTCTGTTCTCACTGCTATGGTATTGAGTATTTTTGTCAATTAAGATATCATTTAAATTAACATATACAATTTTTTTCAGATGATAAAAACATTGGGGAACTGGCAATTCGTGAACTCATGCCACAACACAGGAAGAAATGCAATTCCTTATATATTTTCATGCTGCCAGTGTAAAGACTAATAACTGAGCATGTAAATATCCTTGCAAAATGGGAAACTTATTCTTGTCCCCTGTAAGGAATGTGAGGATCATAGTGCACGTTACACAGTCAGAAGTTCCCTGGCTGATGATGTGCTCAAGGGATCTAGCATAGTCTTTAGAGGTATAATCAAAAGAAACTTGGTAGAACATGGGAAGTTATACTACCTCAGCAAATTTTGGGTTTTACTTGGTAGAACATGGGAAGTTATACCATCTTGGCAAATTTTGGGTTTTTTTCCTACGTCTGTGGCAATGCTGCTGGACAAGAGAGTACAGTCATGGCATTCAAATTCATAACAATGTTGATAAAATGGACATTGCTCCACAACATGCTATGAGAATCATGATTGGAGGAGAACACAGTCTATTCTGTTTAAAAAATGAAAGTATGGACACTGGCCATAAGCTTCTAATATGGGAACATGGATAACAGAAGTTCTTTTATTTTACACATCAAAAGACTGTTCTCCCTCTTAACATGGTACTATCCCATAGAATCATAGAAAAGTTTGCATTGGAAGGGAGATTTAAAGTCTTCTCTCCTCCAGGCTGAACAACCCCAAATTTTACTATAAATCCATAAGCAACTTGCATGTTATTTCTTTACAATTTATTAGTAAAAGCTACTACAGTGTTGGTTTGTTAATAACTTATATTACGGTGATTGGATTTTAAATGCAATTTTTAAAAGCACGTTTTCATTAATTCAGTAGTATGGAATTATGTTCCTCTTGTCTATAGGGCTTCTTTTTTAATTATCGTAAGATGTTTCCCTAAATAATGTCTGATATTTCAGATGTAAGGGGAAAAAAATCTAAATAACTATAGGTGAAAAGTTGTATTTTTTATATTAAACAAGAAACAGCAGGCTTGTTGAATGATGTGATCTATTTATATTACTTCACTGTTGTTTTCCTTGTTTTTAAAGTGATATTTAAAAGATTATGTATTTCAGAGCTGGTAGTCTAGTTCAGCAAGGCTAACTTCTACCAATACTTAAGAAAAATATACCTCAAAAGTAACTGCAATATACTAGCATGTCTTTTAGTAGCAAAATTGCCAAGTAAACTTAAACGCCTGAAGGGAATTCTAATTAGTTAAGATTTTTGTCCTAATGACAGAATATAATAGTTTACAGGTCTCCTAAAAGTAAACCTAGTAAATCAGTAATATCTACCAGCTTATGTCAGTGTTCTTTACACTGCAGACCAGAAGCTGTGGGCAAATATTTGGTTACTAAGTCTATCACCTGCAAGAATTTAATGTTATGATAGTGCCTGGAGGAATCCAGAAGATTGAATTGCACTCAAAGTGTAGTGTGGGAGCTGGGTTTTCCTGTTAGCTATTTTATAGGCCTTCACTTCCTGCTATGCAATCAAGTACAAATTTAGCGTAGTTACGTTTAAAATGGTTGAAACTGCCCTACAGTCTTGCCGTAATCTGTTCTCTGTTCTAAGAAACTACAAGTGAAAATTAGACCAGTGTGTATTATTGACTGGCTTAGGATGGGTAGCTCTCCTTCACTACTGATGATTAGGTATGCACACACCTTTACAATGTTGATAAATAATACCAAATTGTGAAAATACTATGTTTTATCAGTAAATCACAGTGTACCTTAAGAGAAAATTTTTCTCCGGTGTCTCCCTTTTAAATGGAAAACTAAGGCAGATGAGTGTGTTTATGGTCACTGAGAACTCTATGAAAATGGTGGCTTGCTGTTCTGCTATGTACTTTCTACAAAGTATTTGGAGCTGTTTGAGAGAGAAATCCTACATACTGATAGATTATTATTTTTTTAATTTATTACAAAGTGTGGCCCCTTTTCATTCCTGAAGGTCATCATTTTTTCAGTAACTGCCTGTGTTGCTCCTCTCTAGTTACTGTGTAGCTTGTATCTGTTTCTTCATGTCACCTCTCCTGTCAGGTTTGACCTATTGATATACTTTACTTGCTGTCTGCTTTTCCTCCAGAAACGAATTTAGGTGAAAATCAAGTAACTTGACCTGGACTCTAGTTTATTTCTGTGAGAAAATAGAGCTATTTTAAGACTCAAATTTTTTGCAGATCTATTGAACATTTACAATACAGTAGCTAGTTTTATTTATCTTAACAGCTCATTCAGAAAAATGAGGTATATTCAGTTTTATGACTATGTTGATGGAAAACTGGTAACTCTACATGAAAGACCTTTTTGGAAATAATCTCAGAAATAAACATATTATTCCTATACAAAGAGCAGCTGCCAGGATAGAACTGTCAATTGTTTCTTTAGATTTACTTTGCAAATTCGTGTAGGTTTCCATATAAAATTTTTCTTTCTTTGTTGTCCTGTATATATGGACAAGACTGTGTGGAGGTGTGCTGGAAGAACTCTCAAAAGTGCTCACTGACTTTGAAGAACTATTTATTCCAAATTCCTGCTTTCTTTTATTATATATATTATCAGTCTACTTACTCTGCCCAAATTCACTTACAGTAATGCTTGATCGGCATATCTTTAAATGCCTGTAAAAAAAAGACTTTATTCTCCACTTGATTTTTTTTTCTTCATTGATGAAAGAAACATCTTGAAAATGATGTTGTCTTACTTTTCTATGTTCATTCCAACTTCCCATAGCCAGAAGGGGGATAAAAACCTATGCCTATTGATACTTTACAGCAGATTTCTAAAACCTCATCTAAGTATCTGAACAGATCTTGTCTTTCATTTCAGCATAAAGATTCCTGACATGAATATTTCCCCATCTTCTATCTGTAGCTCTCACCTCAGTATTCTCGTTTTACTGAACATCCCGTATTGGCACTTTTCTTTTTTTGTGTAGGATTCCATTACAATACAACATTGGTCAGAGTTGGGGAAAAATGCAGAGATTAGCAGATGGTCAAGATTAAACCCTTTTTATCTCTGTAATTATTAAGAGTGTAAAATGATCTGCCACACAGAGATTGTTGAATATCGAACTTATGAAGCAGTATCATTTGCAAAAAGACCTGAAAACAAATGAGCCTTGACAGACTCTACAGTTATTTTTTTAAATTTTATTTTTTTTTAAAAAGAACCCATCTAGATTAATTAAGGAGGTCAGTTGCTATTTAGGTCACATACCATCCACATAAATTACCTTTCCATGGTATTTCTCAGGGACTGAGAAATTTCTCACACTGACTTGAATTTAAAAAAGAATTTGTTGCCAACCAACCACAGAAATAGGGTATGTGATAGCATGCATGTGTTAGCTTATTGTGGAACACTGCAAGTTTGAAAGATGGGTTAGCTGCTTTAAGTCATGGCTGGAAAAATCATTAATTTCTTAGTTCTCAATGTCAATATTCTTAAATAAAGCTGAATGCTCCGTCGGCCATGAAAAAGAATAAGAAGTGAAAAATTAACTGCGTTAACCTAAGATGTACATCTTATGCAAACTGTGCCTAGGAGTACATTGTTTTAGAGTGTGTCTTTCATTAATACAGCACTAAAGTAAGGGCTGCAACACTTTTCAAATTAAAATGCAGCCTATGTGGCATAAGACCAGTGGCCAATGAAACAGATGGGAGTTCATTTGTTCAATTGGTAGGTATTGTATCATACTGATTATGCCATGTTCAATTTGGAGTGGGATTAAGTGCCAGAGGTAGTCTGCTGTGTTGTTTTTTTCCCAGATAAAATTCCAGTTTAGTTTCTGAATTTAAGTTTCATATTGAAAATAGAAAGACTTTATATAAGTTGTTGTTGGCCTTTTTTTAAATTCAAAATGTACTTCAAGGACAGCATGGTTTAATACATACTCGAAGTGTCTTAATAAAGTGGACGCTGTATAATCTGAAAGCTGCCACAGGATGACAACATAAAAATACCTAGGTTTTTTGTTTGAGGTTTTTTTGTTCAGTTGTTTGGGTTTTTTTAATAATGATGTGGCTTTTTGCCTGCTAGGTACAATTAAAGGCAGTAAAGTAATGGGTGAAGTGTTACTCAGAGGTTTTGTTTACCTGTCTGGTTCATTGGGAAGTAGAGACAACTTAATGTTGTATAGATTTTTATGCTCATAACAATAAAATATTCTAAATAAGTCTTTCCAGACTTTACTAACACATGTGAGACACAAAGGCTACCCTAGTTTCATTTGTAATTCATTTCACTGAGAAGTTATGTTATCTTTCTGTGTCTGGTTATATGAGAGGTCTTGTATGTAACCTGTTAAAGAGTAAACTTCCAGTTACAATCTGTATGCACAGGTATGCATATATGAATGCTATGTACACACATGCACACACACATATATGTATAGTATGAGTTTATGTAACGTAATAATGTTGTGTGTGTCTATATGTACAAAGATGCAGTCAACGAATGCTAAAAAAAAATAGTACCCCATAGTGGAAATGAGCAAAGACAAGTATTATAGTTTAAGCTGTTCCTGTTGCAGTTAATGAAATTATTAACTACTTACTATTTACAATTATTTACTAATGTAAGAAAGATGCAAGAGTTCACTTTATGTCAATAATATATGTAACAATTAGAGATCTATATCTAGTGTATGCAATTTTAGTGTCAAGTCTTTGTCCCAAAAGTCTTTTCCAAAGTATGTTTGAAAACACCCCCA